CCATCTGTCCCAGTCCACTACACACTCTTTCTAGAGCTGGACTGGACAGAGGAAACCCTGCCTCAGTCTTCTGAAAACTTAACCCTGGGATAGACTTTTTTATTTTTTCAGTGGGACATTTAAAGACATTTTAATACCAAAGACACACCAGAATGGCTTTCCAAGAGGTGTTGAGTGTTCCTGAGGGGTCCAGTCTCAATACTGGCTTACATCTGCTTGGAAATCAGAGACAAGGGTTTGAATATGGTGATTCCCAACCACATTTACTGAGCTTGAGCAATTTTGACAAAAACGATGGAAATAGGCCTACACTCAATGGCCAGTTCACAAAAAAATGGTTCAACTCCTACAGACAGTGAGTCATGGGGCCATGGCTTTGCTATATAAATCAGGCAGACGGGCCATCGAGACATTCAGTTACCGTTCGATTGAACGTTAGAACGCACAACTCGTCAGTCCTTGTCGTCGGATGCGCTATGGCAGCAGACGGCCACTCCGGGTTTCCGCTCCTATCAGCTTAAAAAAACAGCTAAAAGCATGAGTCCGTGGCCCGATCCTGCCAGGTCCGTGGCCCATCCCAGGTCCGTGGCCCGATCCTGCCAGGTGTCGACGGTACAGTCTGGTGGCGGTGGTGTACTGGTGTGGGGAATGTGTTCCTGGCACACGTTAGGTCCATTGATACCAATTGTGCTACAGGCCGATCAATTGTTTGGTATCAATCGGCCGATCAATTGTTTCGGGTAATCAATCCCTAACCGAGCCACTTTATCAATATGTGGACTATCACATTAGGGATTTTGGGTGCAAATGTTGCCCTCAAGAAGGACACTACAGACTTTGTGAAGAAATGAGAGACTTGTTCAGAGGACAGAGGACTTGTTGTGTGCTACGGATGTCTCTGGCCTTTATAGGAATATTCCTCATCAAGAGGGTTTAGATGGGATGAAACATGATTTGAATCAAAGAACAGAACTGGATCCCCCCCACCATGACTAACGAAATATTGACTAAGAATTATTTTTAAGTTTGAAGGCTGTTATTATCAGTTCAAGGAATTGCTATGGGGTCGCCAGTTGCGCCTAATTATGCTAATTTGAGTTGGACTTTGTATACGATAATAATCCCTATTCTAAGTTTATCCAAGTGTTTGAGATATGTCGATGACATTTTTTTTGGATTTGGTCAGGTGATGATCTTGAATTGCAGGAATTCTTTACATACATGAATTCCAGGATGCCGTCCATTAAATGTATGTTAGTATCCGATAAAGAACATGTTTCCTTTTTTGGATGTTTTGGTTAAGAAAGATAGCAGTGGCTTGGACACTGAGGTGTATAGAAAATAAACGGATAGAAATACCTTTTCTTAATTTCAGCAGTTATCGTACACCCTCATTAAGAAATAGTGTACCATATAGAAAACTATTTCGCATTAGGCACATTTGTGACTCTGATTTATAATTTGATGTACACGCCAAAGATTTATGTGAACGATTCAAAAGCAAGAGGGTATAAAGAAGAATTATTGGACAATTGTCTTAAGAGAGTGAGACAAACTGAAATGCATTATGTCAACCTACAGTCCTGTCTCAAGGTTGATCAAGGAAGTGGTTAATAGACATTACATTTTAGTCATTTAGCAGACACTCTTATCCAGATCGACTAGGGTTAAGTTCCTTGCTTAAGGGCACATCGACAGATTTTTCACCTAGTCGGCTCGGGGATTAGAACCAGCGACCTTTCGGTTACTGGCACAACGCTCTTAACCACTAAGCTACCCGCCGCCATATGTGAGCATAAGATCCACATTCCCAACCATGATAGAAAAATCCCCCTGTTACCAGGCATTTCAATAATCCATAATCATGAACTAGGTACCTCACGTTTATAAAGGGCGTTGAATTGGTGAAGGCGCCACCTAGTGGAGGAGATGGGGATAAATGACCTCTCCAAAGAGAGACATATTGGATAGACCGCTTGGTCACTCTTTCCCCAGCAGGCCTCAATGAGGAATGGTATTTTTCTCGTTGTTGTTTTTGTTTTTGTAGTATGTTCTAAATAGGTCCAACATTTAGGTCATCGTAATGTAATTGTATTGTGTGTCTATATGTCTTTATTTGATTGTCATGTTTTTCCCCCCACAGCGCCCCCTGCTGGGATCTCTTGATTGGGGCCAATACTGGCTGGGAATTTAGAATGATGCCCCCACCTGTGAGGTTTTGTTGTCGTGACGTTGATTGCCATTGCCTTGCATGCTACAGAAGGGCTCATACCCCCAAACGTTTGTTTGGCAATAAAAATATGTCCATTTATGTTTATTTAATGGAGTGCTGTCCAGTTTCTGTTCTTTGAACGCCACACAGGCCCGGCACCATGAGGGTGCGAAAGGGGGCCCCCTCAGTTGGAATATTGTACCCCCTCAGTTGGAATATTGTACCCCCTCAGTTGGAATATTGTACCCCCTCAGTTGGAATATTGTACCCCCTCAGTTGGAAGGCCAAGGCCACTGGGCCGACGCTAATCACCGAGGCCAAGGCCGCCGAGCCCAGCAGCAAAGGCACCTGAGCAACCGTCTTGCAGCCTGGTGACATAGGAGGTAACCAACCCGAGGAGGGGCCTTCAGCCTGGTGACATAGGAGGTAACCAACCCGAGGAGGGGCCTTCAGCCTGGTGACATAGGAGGTAACCAACCCGAGGAGGGGCCTTCAGCCTGGTGACATAGGAGGTAACCAACCCGAGGAGGGGCCTGCAGCCTGGTGACAAGGAAGGTAACCAACCCGAGGAGGGGCCTTCAGCCTGGTGACATAGGAGGTAACCAACCCGAGGAGGGGCCTTCAGCCTGGTGACATAGGAGGTAACCAACCCAAGGAGGGGCCTGCAGCCTGGTGCCATAGGAGGTAACCAACCCGAGGAGGGGCCTTCAGCCTGGTGACATAGGAGGTAACCAACCCGAGGAGGGGCCTTCAGCCTGGTGACCTAGGAGGTAACCAACCCGAGGAGGGGCCTGCAGCCTGGTGACCTAGGAGGTAACCAACCCGAGGAGGGGCCTGCAGCCTGGTGCCATAGGAGGTAACCAACCCGAGGAGGGGCCTTCAGCCTGGTGACATAGGAGGTAACCAACCCTAGGAGGGGCCTTCAGCCTGGTGACATAGGAGTTAACCAACCCGAGGAGGGGCCTTCAGCCTGGTGACATAGGAGGTAACCAACCCGAGGAGGGGCCTGCAGCCTGGTGACATAGGAGGTAACCAACCCGAGGAGGGGCCTTCAGCCTGGTGACATAGGAGGTAACCAACCCGAGGAGGGGCCTTCAGCCTGGTGACATAGGAGGTAACCAACCCGAGGAGGGGCCTGCAGCCTGGTGACATAGGAGGTAACCAACCCGAGGAGGGGCCTGCAGCCTGGTGACATAGGAGGTAACCAACCCGAGGAGGGGCCTTCAGCCTGGTGACATAGGAGGTAACCAACCCGAGGAGAGGCCTTCAGCCTGGTGACATAGGAGGTAACCAACCCGAGGAGGGGCCTGCAGCCTGGTGACATAGGAGGTAACCAACCCGAGGAGGGGCCTTCAGCCTGGTGACATAGGAGGTAACCAACCCGAGGAGGGGCCTGCAGCCTGGTGACATAGGAGGTAACCAACCCGAGGAGGGGCCTGCAGCCTGGTGACATAGGAGGTAACCCAACCCGAGGAGGGGCCTTCAGCCTGGTGACATAGGAGGTAACCAACCCGAGGAGGGGCCTTCAGCCTGGTGACATAGGAGGTAACCAACCCGAGGAGGGGCCTTCAGCCTGGTGCCATAGGAGGTAACCAACCCGAGGAGGGGCCTTCAGCCTGGTGACATAGGAGGTAACCAACCCGAGGAGGGGCCTGCAGCCTGGTGACCTAGGAGGTAACCAACCCGAGGAGGGGCCTGCAGCCTGGTGCCATAGGAGGTAACCAACCCGAGGAGGGGCCTTCAGCCTGGTGACATAGGAGGTAACCAACCCGAGGAGGGGCCTTCAGCCTGGTGACATAGGAGTTAACCAACCCGAGGAGGGGCCTTCAGCCTGGTGACATAGGAGGTAACCAACCCGAGGAGGGGCCTGCAGCCTGGTTGACATAGGAGGTAAACCAACCCGAGGAGGGGCCTTCAGCCTGTGACATAGGAGGTAAACCAACCCGAGGAGGGGCCTTCAGCCTGGTGACATAGGAGGTAACCAACCCGAGGAGGGGCCTGCAGCCTGGTGACATAGGAGGTAACCAACCCGAGGATGGGCCTGCAGCCTGGTGACATAGGAGGTAACCAACCCGAGGAGGGGCCTTCAGCCTGGTGACATAGAGGTAACCAACCCGAGGTAGAGGCCTTCAGCCTGGTTGACATAGGAGGTAAACCAACCCGAGGAGGGGCCTGCAGCCTTGGTGACATAGGAGGTAACCAACCCGAGGAGGGGCCTTCAGCCTGGTGACATAGGAGGGTAAACCAACCCGAGGAGGGGCCTGCAGCCTGGTGACATAGGAGGTAACCAACCCGAGGAGGGGCCTGCAGCCTGGTGACATAGGAGGTAACCAACCCGAGGAGGGGCC